AGGGGCCAAAACAGAGCTGAACATCGTCAAACAGTAAGTGCCGTAATGATACCTAGGCCTACAGCCGCTCCACAATGCAACAATCACCCAAGGGTGGAAAGGCCACAACGTCAGTTTACCCGAATCAATATGACGTTGGCTGAAGTTCTACCTCATCTGCTGAGATCCAACTTGGCACCATGAAAGAGGCTCCCAAGAATATGAATACCACATCTCCCCGATTTAATCCAAATGCTCGATGTGCCTATCATTCTGAGAGTCCCGGCCACGATATCAATGACTTATGGGCTCTAAGAAATAAGGTACAAGATCTGATCGAAGCCAAGGAAATTGAGTTCGATGCTCCGAAAAAGCCCAATGTCATAACTGCTCCCATGCCTAAGCACGGTCGTGGAGTTAATGTTGTTGATACTGACTTGTTTGTGACCTTGGTGGATGAAGTTTCTACTCCTCTCATGATTGTGAAGAAGAATTTACTATTGGCCGGTTTATTTCCAAGTTGTGGTAAAGGTTGCCACATGTGTTCATTTCTGCCTTCTGGTTGCCATTTGCTGAAGTCGGGTGTTCAACGCCTGATGGACAGTAAATAAATTTTGTTCGAGAAAACTTTGGTTCCTGTTGTTCCATCTGAAGACATTTCCATTATAACCATTTCCGCCAATCCTTCCAAGGTCTCCTCGAGAAGACCTGTTAGGATTACATCTGCTCCAAGAATCGCTCTGCTAATAATCACTGTTCCTGGTCCTGTCTCGTATGTCTCGGACAAAGTTGTCCCCTGGAATTATGGTGCCAATGTGTACTATCATGGCATCAAACAAGATTTGAAAAATGAAGAGGCTGATCCTGATATTGGTAACATTGTCGGAACCAGCAAGGTTACCCGAAGTGGAAGGGTCTTCTCTCCCGAGATTTCCCCAAAGACTGTTAAGAGGCCTATTGTTATTCTGTTTGCTACTCCTGCTGGTACATCAACTACTACTCTTGTGTTTACTCCAATTATCACTCCCTCCGACGAGTCATCTGGGACTTGAGGCAAAGAAATCATAGGCGAGCCTGCCCGGACGGAGACGCCTAGAAAAATTGTTGTGGAAGCCTCTAAGCAAGAGATAGAGGAAATATTGAAAATAAATAAAAAGAGCTACTACAATGTGGTCGAGAAGCTGGGGCAGACCCCCTCAAAGATATCCATCCATGTTATCCCTGTTGTTGTGCTCCGAGGCCCATACAAAGGCTTTGATTGCATTCCTCAAAACTGCGCATGTGCTACAAGAGACTTCAGCTGATTAATTTAAAGATTGTGTGGCTAGCCTGACTGTTGACAATGGGCTGGGTTTTACAGATGCGGACTTGACACCGAAGGTAAGGAGTCATAATAATGCTCTGCATGTCTCGATTGAGTGCAGGGGCACCACTATGGCTCATGTGTTGGTAGATACTGGGTCTTCGCTGAATGTTCTGCCCAAGAAGGCGTTGGACCGGTTAAATTGCGAGGGTTTGACTTTAAAGCCTAGTAACATTATGGTAAGGGCTTTTGATGGGTCAAAAAGAATGGTTCACAGGGAGGTGGACATCCCTGTCAAAGTGGGTTCTCAGACCTTTGGATCCACCTTCTATGTGATAGACATCAGGCCTTCATATTCTTGTTTGTTGGGTCGACCTTGGATCCACGTGGCTGGGGCAGTTACTTCCACACTACACCAAATGCTGAAGTATCCGGTAAAAGGGAAGATTGTCACTGTGCGGGGTGAAGAGGAGTATATGATGAGCCACCTCAATTCCTTCTGCTACGTAGAGATGGACGGGGAATTTATAGAAACTCCTTGTCATAACTTCGAAGAGGTCCCTCAGATCTTGGCATCGACTGGAACTACTACCAGCAACAAACCTCCTAGGAAGATGCCTTCTCTCAAGGACACAAGGGTCGTAGTTGAAGAAGGTGGGTGTACCAATTGGGGTCAGCTCCCTGATTTCACTCACAAAATTGACAAATTTGGTTTGGGATTTACTATAGGGGCTCAAAGGGTTGTTCAGCGCACTCGGGCTGGAGGACCTCCCCTACACATCAGTAATCTGGGAATTAATGCCATTGAAGACAGCGAGGAAGACTCAGACATTGACAGCTGGATCTACCCAACTACCAACGGTGGACCGAGTAACTGGACGGCTAGGGACTTTATACCGGTTTCTTTTATTCCGCAGTAATTGTCCTACTTATTTTGAGATTTGTAATAAACAATTTAAAACTTTACGGCCTTGTGCCTTGCCCGAGCCACATTGGCTTTGCTTGTGAGGGCTATTATTTTTCATTTCATATATCATTAATAAAGCATTGGACATTTCTTGCATACAAATTTTGCGCTCTCTGTTTTTTCTTTTATGTTTTCACTTTATCAAAACAGCTATTCTCTTACACACACTCACGTATCATACTGCAGATCCATATCCACTCTGGATCCCATTGATAACAGCTCTGCTATTGCCAGTTATGACTTCAAAATTCCAATCAACCAAGCCGAAGACAAAGGTGAGGATGATTGTGAGGTTCTTGGAGAACTTGCTAGACTATTACAGCAGGAAGAAAGGGCCATACAGCCTCATGAAGAGCCGGTTGAGATGAAAAACCTGGGCACGGAGATAGACAGAAAAGAAGTCAAGATTGGCGCAAATTTGGAAGTTAAGATCAAACAGCGGTTGATATAAATGTTGCACAAATATGTTGAGATCTTTGCATGATCATATGAAGACATGCCAGGTTTAGACATTGATATTGTGGTTCATCGCCTGCCGACCAAAGAAGATTATCCTCCGATTAAACAGAAGGTCTGTTGTATGAGTCCCGAAATGTCAGAGAAGATCAAGGCAGAGGTCATGAAACAGTTCGACGCATGATTCTTAGCTGTCACTTCTTATCCACAGTGGGTTGCTAATGTTGTTCCGGTACCTAAGAAGGACGGTAAGGTACGAATGTGTGTGGATTACAGAGATCTAAACAGGTCAAGCCCCAAGGATGACTTCCCACTTCCTCACATTGACATTCTGGTTGACAACACCGCGCAACACAAAATCTTCTTCTTCATGGATGGTTTCTCTGGCTACAACTAGATCAAGATGGCTCCTGAAGACATGGAGAAGACAACCTTCATCACTCGGTGGGGCACCTTCTGCTACAAGGTGATTCCTTTTGGGTTGAAGAATGTTGGGGCAACTTATCAGCGTGCCATGGTTGCTTTGTTCCACGATATGATTCACCATGAGATCGAAGTTTATGTGGATGACATGATAGCCAGGTCTCAGACTGAGGAAAAGCACCTTGGTCATCTACAAAAGTTGTTTGATAGGTTAAAGATATATAAGCGGAGGTTAAATCCGAACAAGTGCACCTTTGGGGAAAGGTCTGGTAAACTTTTGGGTTTCATTGTCAGCGACAAAGGCATCCAAGTAGATCTTGCAAAGGTAAAGGCTATACAAGAAATGCCAGCTCCCTGTGTAGCGGTGAAAATCGGAGATCAAGCTATTAATTAACTTGACTCACAAAAGCAAGAGTCGCCACCGCGCTTTATTATTTCCAAGGTAAAAGGGAAAAGAGCGAAATAAAACCTTAAAATATGCAATGTAAAGTAATATTTAAAAGTAATGAAAATACAATGCATTTTTGAAAGAGATCGAGAGTTCGGGGGTTGGTTATACAATGGGAAGGTATTAGCACCCAATGCATCTGCGGTACTCCGCAGGAACCTTTTGAAATATCTGTTTTTTATTAAAAGTTGTTTGTTTGATTAAAATGACTTTGTTTGGTTTAAAGTGGTTTGTTTGGACTTGTTTTGAAGATACGACGACCTAGTGTCGAAGTTTTAGCTTAAAAAAAAGTGTGAGTTTTAAAATTGAGTCTTTTGGGAAAATTATCTTAAGTTTGGCAAAATAGTAAACAAACAAAAAATGAATGAGGGTATTCGCATGATCGTATGAGATATGTTCGATGACATGAAGTCAACACATTTAATTCTTTCTCTTGGAGTAAATCGAGCGAGCAAAATAAAATAAACGTCAAAATATAAGCAATCAAAATTCACAAGAAAATAAATATAACTAAACAAATTAATAACCTAAAGGCATCGAGAAATTAAAATGACAAAGATATTTAAATAAAATAAAAGAGAATGTAACTAATTATCTAAAGAAGTTATTTAAACTAAATTAAAAATTTAAGGTTGCTAATCTAAAACAAAAACAAAAATTCCAAAGTTACTAAACTAAATCTAAATCAAATAAAATTCTAGAAGAATATTAAATTAATTCTAAACAACTAAAATTCTAAACTTATTAAACTAATTCTAAATCAAATAAAAATTATAAACTCATTAAACTAATTCTAAATCAAATAAAGTTCTAAAGTCCCTAAACTAAAACTAACAACTAAAATTCTAAAGTTAACTTAAATAAAATCAAATAAAATTCTATAGTTTACTAAATTAAAACTAAAAAAAATAAAATTCTAAAATTTACTAAGTCAAATCTAAAGGAAATAAAATCCTAAAGTTACTAAAATAAAACTAAAACAAAATAAAATTCTAAAGTTTACTAAATAAAATCAAAATGAAATAATATTCTAAAGTTACTAAAATAAAATTAAAACAAATAAAATTCTAAAGTTATTAATTATGATTCTAAATATTTTAAAGTTATAAAATAAATCTAAACTAATTAAAAAAATTCTAAATTAATAATAAACTAAATCTAAATATAAGATTTACTAATATTTTTTTTTATATATTTTTTTTTAACATGTCACAATTGTTATTGAATGAAAAATAAAACTAAACGGAATTACGTAGAACAAAAAAATAAGAAAAGCTAAAACATTTCAATTGTACTCTCTTTCTTCTCCATCCCATTTTCACAATTCTCCTCAAAACAAAAACAATTTAATCTTAAATATCTTCTCTCTTCTTCTTGCAGGGAAAATTTTGTCACATCATTCCAAAATCAAGTAACAGTATAGCTCATCCAAAATTATTAAACACACAACTCTCAAATAGGGAGAAATAGGAAGAAAAAACCTTGTACGATTGTCCTGAAGTTGGATCGTGACAATGGATCGTCGGAAGAAAATCCCTGCGACGGCTTGTACGTGGTCGGGGCTTTGAATGTATGGTGGAGGAGCTGCGGTCGGTGGTTGAGATTAGTGGTTGAGATCGGTGGTTTTGGATGATGCAGATCTGATGATTCGTGGCGAGCACTGATCTAAGAGGTTTATACACGGAGAAAGGGGGTTGATGTCTGGTGTGCACGGCTTCGGTTTGCAATTCAGTTGTGCAATGGATCGTGACTAGATTCTGGTGTGCAGCAGAATCGGAGGTGGCGCGATCTACTGTGTCGGGCGGGTTTCGTGACGTCGTAGGGTGTTGGGAGTAACAGTCGTGTCGCCGTGCCGGGTTCTGACGAACGAAAGGCCGCGGCAGTTGTGGAGTCATCGATGGTGGACGACCATTGGAGGAAGCTCCGGCGTGATGGGTGCGAACGGAGCAGGTCGCCGATACTGCAGGCGGTGTTCTTCCGATGTTCTTCTTTTTTTTCAGTGTCGTCTAGTCTTTATCAACAGAAAGTTAAACCAATGTGTCAGCTCTTCGAATATTAAATCTGCAGAGCGGGCAAGTTGCTGATGGAATTACTATTTTTGTTGTTTGGTGTGTGTCGAAGAGAGAAGAGGGAGTGATGATGGGGAGGTGAATTGACGGTACTGGAAGTTGCAGGCGAAGGAGGTTGCAGGGTGGTGATGGAAGCAAACAGAGGGAGTTTGTAGGTGTTACGGAAAGAGGAAATGAAGGTGAGAAGGAGAGAAGTCGCTGGGTTTGTGTTGTGGAGAGAGGGATAAGAGAAATGGAAGGGTGGTTAGAGGAATGGTTAAGAGAGAAGGGTGTTGCTGAGAGAAGATGAGGAAACGAAAAGGAGTTTAGAAAAAGAGATGGTATGGGTTACTGTAAGCTTTTTGTTCTTGTTTTTATGGAGTGGACAAAGAGATAAATATGCTTTATATAGAAAAATGAAAAAAGAAAAATTGATTTCAAAGTTAATCACGTCCATTCAAAATAAAATCATTCTGCATTGATCCTCAAATTTTGTCAACAACCAATAGAAATCAAGCATAGTGTAATAAACATTATTTTGTGACTGAAAAGCCCTTTTAATGATAAAAATGAAATAAAAACAGAAAGTATTTAAATTAACTCAATTAAAATTAATTTTTTTGAATTTTTTCAGAATTAAAAATAAAGACACAAAATGACCGAAAACGATAAAAAACGGACGAAAATTTATCCGATAAAATAAAATGAACACATTAAAATAAACTACATGTCACGAAGATTAAAGAAAAAATATTCAAGAAGTCAAAAAATCAAAAATAAAATAATAATAAAAATATCAGACTAAACAGACGTTTAAGGTTAAAAACGAGACTTCGAACTGTACCGAAAAAATAAAGCGAGCATACCGTCATGATCTACGCGAAACGCAGATTCATAAAATGATCGGTAAAAGGTGAAAACTTAAAATATTTTCTCGCTAATTTCCCGCATAGTGTCGAATCGCTTTTAACAGTCTGTCTATAAAACCGAAATATTTCATTATCGACATATAAACAATTTGGAGCAGTGCAAGAAAATAGTAAACAGATAAAAATGAGTGAAGTGAAATGTCGGGTATTTTACAACTGAAAGACGATGCAAACTTTGATTTAAACTGACTTTTTCTGGTCAACTTAAATACGACTAATGATGCAAAATGTGATGAATGAAGATATTTACTAATGATTGTGACCAAATGACAAAATATAGTATGAATGTGCGACTGAAAAAATTAGGGGCGAAACTTAGGGTGCAACAGTTGTGCCTTGATGAATCAGTCTTCAAGAATCCACAATCAACTGTACTTCTGGCTTGGGAGACTCAAAATCTTAATTGAGGAGCGACACCTGATGCTCTTGATTCAGACCTGTCTCTGCACATGAAACAAAAGAAAACATGAACATACACCTTTGTATGGATTAGAAATTAGTGATACATAGGCTAAAAATGTTCAAAACACCTGACAACCTTCGCATAGTCAATGCTTGAAGGTGAGAGATTAAAATCGACTGTATTTCGTGACCTTGACTTATCTTTAAAAATGCAAAAATAAAAATGGGATCTTAGGTCAAAAATTGGGGTACAACAGCTGCCCCTATTTAAGTTTCTTCTATCTGGAGATATGAAGATTGGGATCTTTATTTCGACGAGATTGGAGGGACTTAAATATAGAATACACAATTTTTGGCCTTAAGATACCGCGATTATGTTCATGATATGATATGAATGTAATGCTCTGAATTTTATGGGGAATGACGCCATATGAGACAAACTATGCTGGAGAAACTAAGCATATTATACAGTAATCCCACAGAGGAAGAGGTTGTAACTCCACTGGGGAAACAGAGTCACAGACTTCAAATGAGAGACTCTTGAATGATTTACATCAGTGTTGAGACTGGAAAAGGTAATGATTCACATCAGTACTGTGGTTGGAAAACAAAATGATTGACATCAGCACTGTGGCTGGAAAACAAAATGATTGACATCAGCACTGTGGTTGGAGATAAACATCTCTGATTTCTGAATTTTACCAAGAACGGTAACACATTTCTTCTCTAACCAAGATATCGCTTGAAAAGGATAAAATAACAAACTTCCCCACGGGACTTTTCCGAAAGGGATGCCATTTGCTGAGTAGACATTATTGTTGGGGATACACAAGCTGCTCAAATAAAGAGGCCTCCACTTGCTTCCTTTCAAAGGTGTCAATAACATACAAGTTGCTCATGAAGAGACCGCCACTTGCTGTCTTCAAAGAACATTAAAGCACACAAGCTACTCATGAAGAGTCCGCCACTTGTTGCCAAAAACCCACAAGCTGCTCATAAAGAAGCTGCCACTTGCCGTCTTCAAAGAATATTAAAGCACACAAGCTGCTCATGAAGAGTCCGCCACTTGTTGCCAAAAACCCACAAGCTGCTCATAAAGAAGCTGCCACTTGCCGTCTTCAAAGAATATTAAAGCACACAAGCTGCTCATGAAGAGTCCGCCACTTGTTGCCAATAACCCACAAGCTGCTCATAAAGAAGCTGCCACTTGTCGTTTCAAGGGAACAATAACACGCAAGTTGCTCAAATAGATAAGCTGCCACTTGATGTCTTCAAAGAATATTAAAGCACACAAGCTGCTCATGAAGAGTCCGCCACTTGTTTCCAAAAACCCACAAGCTGCTCATAAAGAAGCTGCCACTTGTTGTCTTCAAAGGTGACAATAACAAACAAGTTGCTCATGAAGAGGCTGCCGCTTGCTGTTTTCTCTAAGGTATCAATAACATACAAGTTGCTCATGAAGAGACCGCCGCTTGATGTTTTTCAAAGGTATCAATAACACACCAGTTGCTCGTGAAGAGACCGCCTCTTGTTGTTTTTCAAAGATAACAATAACACACAAGTTGCTCATGAAGAGGCCGCCGCTTACTGTTTCTCGAAGATATTAATAACATACAAGTTGCTCGTGAAGAGACCGCCGCTTGATGTTTTCAAAGGTGACAATAACACACAAGTTGCTCGTGAAGAGGCCACCGCTTGCTGTTTTCCGTACAAGCTGCTCATGAAGAGACCGCCACTTGCCGTTTTCCGTACAAGCTGCCCATGAAGAGACTGCCACTTGCCGTTTTCCGAAGAATATTAAAGCACACAAGCTGCTCATGAAGAGTCTGCCACTTGTTGCTTTCAAAGATACCAATAACACATCATGAAGATATTGCTAGAGGTGAGAATCAATAATTTCCTCGGGGATGGACAAACTGCTCATGAAGAGACCGCCATTTGTCGTAGAGATATCAGAAATAATCAAACTGCTCAAATAAAGAGTCAGTCGCTTGTTGTCATGTCGATATTCCAGAAGAAGGTTGTGATAACACTGCTGGGGAATAAAGTTCATCTTCAATGGGGAACCATGAATAAATCCTTCTTGAGGAGACCAAGTATTTACGTTGCAAAATAAATGCACTCTCCATCTAGGTTTCACAGCCTAGAGAGATCCACAGGGTATCGTTCACAAGAGACAAAGCTCAATCCAGGAATAAACTGGAGAGAAAATAGTCAAACAAGACTCCACCCAATGAGGAAACAACTCAAATGGGGATTTATCCTATCCAGAGATGGAAAAGGAAAGCTAAAGCAAGATTCTTCCATGAGAGTTAACTCAGTGGGGAATTAGAAAAGAGGCGCACTTTCTCCTTAAGCTGACACTCTATTTGGAAAGATCAAATACGCTATTTGAATAGACATAACCAAGGTATACGAACTCAAAGATATCAGCAAATACAAATGTGCGTGCATGATGCAAGTGTGAATGAATAAATGAATGTTATGTATATGCTGACAAAACAAATAGAGGAAATAGACAGAAGATGATAAGACACCACAGCACAACCCGACACTCAGCTAATCTCAACAAGATGGTAACATTACTGGAGATAAAAACAAAAGCCATCATTGGAGCAAAGTCCTTTTACAAGGCTTAAATATCTACGAAGAGGAAGATATTTTTTTGGTAGAAAACCCAAAGTCCAGTCTTCTATTGCAAACAATCCATTGAAAGGATAACAAACACAAACAAAGTTTCAGCTGGAAAGAAGTCTTGCTTAGCTGGAGATACTGGGAACACCGTCCTCTGATAATGTATGCAATACATATCACATATCTTGACAAATCTAGATTTCCCCTGGGACCAATTTTGGATGCCCCAAGTTTACTGCTGATGGGCTGCATGTTGCACGACAATTCATGCGAATAGCTTCACTTATAACATGCCCCAAGCTATCTGGTTGATGAGGAGAAATCGTCTCGAGAGGATTTTACAAAAGACCTGGCATTCACCATGCTCTGGTGTCTTCAAACTCTTAGAGGAATTCAATAAATCTCGACGTGATTGCCCCGAATTGACTGTAGTTGGCACAACAAAGTCTTCAACTTTTGCCCCAAAAGAGTAAACAAGTTGGGAAAGAATTAACTGGGAGAAGCAACATGTTCGTGCTTAAGGTCTTCAGGTGACATGCCCATGGATATGATTTTTTCTTGACGTGATCCGCCAATTACTCAACATAGTTTCAGGCCTTAAAAGAATAAACTCATCACTGGTGCTTATATGTGAGTTTCCTTGATATCAAACAAATGTTTTGCAGTTAGAAAATTTTATTATGAGAATGAAAATTCTAATGCAACAGTTACGTAAGTCTTGAAGATTTTGAAAAGATATCGCACAACTTTTGCGAGTTAGAGCATCATTTATTTTTGTGTAGGAAAAAAAATATGATACCAACATAACTATTTAGAACATTCATGGGAGTCAGTAACACTATCTCATTGAAGTATGCTTTCAAAATAACCTTGCTTCAATTA